CACGCTTCGCAAAGCGAGCCTCCAACAAACCGTTCAGGAATAGTATACGGCAAACACGGTGTCCTAGGTGCACCAATGCAAATGCAATGCAAAGAAACACATAAGTGTAGTCAAAACCAGATATCATGCGTTCGAGTCAAGTTCTTTAAATCCACAGCAGAGTCGCCAGAAACTGTAGACGCGCCCTTGGGCCTCACTATAGTTCGGACTCAATTTGTGTCACAGTCCTGTATCTAATCTCGCGGAGTGCAATGCAAGACCGATGAATCATCAAAGAGTCCAAATCCGGCAAATCGTTTTTGAAAACAGATTTTTTTAAAAGAAGTGCCAAACATGGACTGCTTTGCCAGATACAGAGTCGCCACCTAAATATTTTATTTTTGGGAAATTTAGGAAACCCTGACTCGTTGCCCGAGGCCACGTGTCCATCATCACCAAAGTTGCCTCGACTCGGGAACTTGGATACGATTGGGGAAGGTCACTTCGTGAGCACCCCCGCTCGCCCGATCAAAGATCGGTCTCTACTATCCATGATATCAAGTTTTGAAAACATTGTGCGTTCTTATTCTGGTTATTAGCCTAGATTTACTATGTGATGCGCACAACATACAAGTATAGACCGGATCGTCTAAATTGAAATAAAACATTTCATGTTTATTTTTTAAAGCGGTTTGCTACTCCCAAGTAGGCTTAAAATGCAGATTTTGCCACCCTCGGGTGGGCTTAGAAAACATGGTTTTGCCACTATCTAGTGGGCTTAAAACTCACAGTCAATGCATTATTCCAATTCAGATAATCCAACCTTCACCCACAGGCATTCAGGAAGGTATATCACATAAGCAAATAGCCTCATGGTAAGCATGCTATCATGGCAGTCACTCACACACATGCAAGGATGCTAAAGCATAAAACTTACCGAGTACTCCAAGCCAAAACAGAAGCTGATTAGAAATCATGCATGAATCCTAACTATACAGAAATGCCTAATGCAACACATGCAAAAATGCAACTATAATAGGCTCGGCTATTCTAAAATGACATGTGAAATGCTACAGCTAACAAGCATTCAACTTGGAATTGAGATACAAATGCAGTTAGTATGATGCGCTGAGCCTGGTGTATGCAAAATAGATGAATGATGCAAACATGCAAGCATAAGTATGCTAATTGAAACATGCCCTAATCTAACCATCATAAGCTGGTAAATAAAGGGGAGAAAAACGTGGGGTTGGAAGACATACATCACATGCACACACACTTATTACAGTTGTGCCCTCGTTCGAAGGGTCCAAATAAATAATACAGTCCGAATGAATAATTACAGTCCGAATAAATAATCACAGTCCGAATAAGTACAAAATCCTAATTAATTAACAACTTAACGAGGAAAGCGGATAAATTAGCATGCAAGCTATGGACCGCCTCAGCTCTGTTCCGAATAATGAATGATGCATGTTCGAGTTGCCTTGCACGAAAATCCATTGCGATGTCCCGATTCGCTTCTGTTTGCAATTAATGCCGGAATGCTGTGCAAGGCTTTAAAAAGCTGTGGATTTCTGATTTGCTGCAACAGAGGGCAAGAAAGGGACACATCAAAGTATTTTCACATATGTATGCATGACTACTCTTCAGGGAGTGTAGTCCTCGATCCTCGTGCCACCAATCACGCATCTCGATGCATGATGGCCGAGAAGTCAAATTGCACGACTCGATGTGAAATGAATGCACATGAAAACACAAGACCTAAACTCTATCATGGGTAATCCGGAGTGTCGGCGACCGGGAATTGAGACACGTTCCGTCACTCGGAGTACGAAACATCCCTCGTTTCCCGTGCTTGGGCTAACTCCTATCCCAAACACAATGCAAATGAGAGGGCATACACAATGCGACTAACATACAAACTAGCATACGCAATGCTATGAAATGGCATACACAATGCTCGATGTAACATGGCATACACAATGCTCTAACATGCAACTCGGCATACACAATGCTATGGACTGAAATGGCATACACAATGCACGATGGACTTACACCAACATGAGTGGACCTCAACCACACTCACATCAGTGGCCATTAGATGAAAATGAGACAACCGAAATGTGTGCACACATGCACAACAACCAAGGACCGAACCTAAGGCATGGAATGCCACTCTACCAAAGCATGGCAAGGATGAAACATGACATGGAATAGCATAAATTATAGCTTTAAAATAGCATGAAATATGATCCCGAAACATGCAAATATGGCACACAATGCAAGCTAGGGGGCCCGGGTACCAAAACTAGCGAAGTGCGTTACTCTAGAGGTATCCAAAACAATGCACTAATGGCAAAACCAAACAAACCCTAGGCAGGTCTGAAACAGTGGGGAAATGGCGTAAAATGATGGCTCAGAATGCAACAAAATGAAGCTCATTCAATGGTCCGAAAACAAAGCATACAAGCCCCACTCTCAAACGCATTTAAAGAGTACAAAACCTGGCAACATGGAATTAACATAGGCTCTGAAATGTGATGCAAAACGAGCCCAAAGCATGAAAATACCTCAACACATGCATGCAATGGACCTCAAACCTCAAAGTTAAGCATGGGTATTGAACTATAAGCATGCAAAACAAACATCATTCAAACATGAGACCCAAAAACAAAGCAAGGGCAGTCCAACAAAGCATGCAAAGAAAGCTAGTGAACCATGAGTTGTTCTACAACTATATAAAGCATATGAGGGTTCACCAAACCAACCAAAAAAAGATGTATGCCATGTCAAAATATGCCCAAATAATCACTGAAACTCAGTCAATGCATGCAAAAGTGATGGGCTCCTTTGAAAGGCCAATAAGAGGGTTACTCTACACATACATGATGGACATCAATGATGGCCAAACCACCTCTGGAAATAGGTTATGACAGCCCTAAAACTCACGAAAAAGGCCCTGAAATCAACCTAGGAAGCATGCAAATGAAAGACCCTTTGAAAGGCCTTGAGTGGGATTGTTCTACACATGCATCATAGACATAAAATATGGCCAAAGGGGCTCCAGAAAGAGTCAAGGAAGACCTTAAAACTCACAAAATAAGCCCTGAAATGTGACTTCACAACATGCAAGATGGAGCCCCTTTGGAAGGCCAACAATGCTAGTAAAGAGGACAAGGGGCGAGAGGGTCACCCCTCTCTAATTTTGAAGCTCAAAACACATATTGGCCACTGAAAATCCACTGGATTTCAGTGGCCAAAAGGCCAAACCAAAGCCAATGCAAATGCTCTAATGCATAGCCCTAAACATGAGGAAATGGAGCATACAAGGTGGAAGATGACCCCAAACAGAAAAAAGTTCTTAAACAAACATGTTTATAAGATCAAAAAAAGACTTTTTTCAGTTTATGTTGAAGTCCAAAAATGTTTTCAAATAGGGCTAAAGAATGGAGCAAAATAATGTCAAAAATTGGGAAATGGAGACTTACCCTTGTAGCACAGCAATGCAGCAACTTCTGGACCAAGAAAGTGAGCTCTCAACCTCTGAAAATCAGTCCCAAGGTGGTTGAATGGATGGTGGAGGTGGTAGGCTAGGAGGTGTAGTGTAAATGGTGCAAGAACAAAGGGGTTTTGGAGCTTGGAAGAGAGAGATATGGAGAGAAGTGTATGTATGCTCTAACCAAAAGGTTCAACCATTGCAAATGAAGACAAGCCTCTCCTTTATAGAGGAGAGGCTCTAAAGTTTCTCTAAGAAGCCTCAAATATCCTCCATACACGTGTATGGAGGATGGTCCAAATGCCTCCCAGCTGGCACAGCTGGATTGCATTCAGAGAGAGCAAAAAGACAAGAAGCAGGACAACCAGTTCAAGTGGCCGGCCGGCCACTCCCCCTGGTTGGCCGACCAGGGGTCAAAAGGTTCAAGGAGAAATTCTGGTCGGCCACCCCAGAAAGGTGGCCTCCCAAATGAATGCAACACAGCTGTATGGTGGAAAACCAGAAAATGTGACCCAAAAGAGAGAAAACCAACTTTTTAGCAAGGTTCAAAAGGGTCAAGAAGAATTACTGGTCAGAATACCCATATTGGTGGCCTCCCAGATGAGCACAACACAATGGTGGTATGAAAAGCCAGAAATTGTGGCTCAAAAGTGAGAAAAACCAGCTTTTTGTCAGAAAAATCGGCTTTAAGAGAGAGAAAAAGAGAAAACTAGTTTCCAAGGGAAAAAGGTGGCCTCCCACCATACTACCACCTCCCTAACAATGAAAATAGGGTCCCTACCAAAAATGGACCAAGACGGATGCAAAACGAAGGTTCGAGGGCCAAAACGCGCAATCTGGGGCCCCGAAAATAGGTTGTTAGGCACCGAAAGTAGCGTATGACCACGGAGGTGGTCTCCCGGGCCGCAGTGTCCCTCTAAAGGGAGGAAAAAAGGTGTGTGCCAAAAATCGGAGCAAACGGAGGTAGTTAAGCGGTCCCGAACCGATGCACACGGCCGACGACTCCGAAAATCAGAAACTGGGCTCCAAATGGGAAAAATGGCCTATGACCACGAAACGTAGCCTATGGCCACTGTGAGATAGTCTACAAGACCTCTCCCTCCCTTCGGGAAGAGAAAACAAAGAAAACACGACTTGGTTCGCAAACCGAGACAAAGCACAAAAGAGTCCCGAAGTCCGGAGGCAAGGCTTGCAGCCGAGACTCTAAAACCTCAGAATGAGCACAATATGCATCATCACCGAGCGCTCAATTGGTGACATCGGAGTCTTAAGGTCAGTCAAAAATGGGGTGTCTACAGGGACATATTTTGAGAATGACAGCACGTGGCTAAGGTAATGCCGAGGTGCCACATGGCCTGGTCATGATGCCGAGGTGATCTCCGCTAGGCCGAGGTTATCTGCGGAGATATCAAAATCCAGGATGAACGGATAAGGGACGGGAGTCCTAAAATAGGGGAAGATCTCAGTCTGAACAAAGATAAAGCTCTTAGTGAGTTTATCCCTCTCTAGCTGGAAGTCCAAGATGAACATTGAGCCTGAGTCTATTGAGGTTAGGCCTCTACAGGGATCAGGTCAAGTGCTGGCTATAAAAGCAGGGCACTCCCATGGGTCTGAGGTATGTGTGATACACTGTAAACAGTAAGTTATTTCTTGTGAGTTAAGCACAATTGACTATCTTTGAGAGATAATTACTGACTTGATCGTCGAAGTGCCCCCGAGTGGACGAACCTCTGTCGGATTCTTATCTTTCTGTGACAGGTTGTTTGGGCTTAATCTATTCTGCCGGTGCTCTCCCGCTAAGTTTTCCTATTTGGTTGTGTGGTCAAAAATCAACACCTATGGTATCCCAAGTAAGCAACCAAAGAGGGGGGGTGAATTGGGTTATTAAAAATTTTACAATATTAAAATTAACACAATATTCAGAATTTTAAAAAATAAAAAAGGACAGAATAATAATTATCAATATAAAAGTAAGAGAGATAGGGAGAGAAAATCAAACACTGAGATTTATAGTGGTTCGACACGCCAGGCCTACGTCCACTCCCCAAGGAACCTCCTTGAAAATTTTCTTACTATCAATTGAATAAATACATCAACAAGCTTGTGGATTTGGCACAGGACTTATTCTTATCTATTGAGCCTCACTCAACAACAAATGCCTCACCCTTACAAAATCTCTCACAAAAATAATGAATAAAAATAAGTGGTACTTAAACCCTCTTTTAAAATAATTCTCTCACAAAGAGTAGATATGAAAGTGTAAGAACAAAGGCTACACTTAGATCTGAAAATGAAAGAGCATAATACAATATAGTTAGAATTTTGGAGCACACATAAGTTTTTCTTTTCAAGTTCTTGATTTTTCTCCACACACAACACTTCTATTTATACCAAAAAATATACCCGTTGGAAGAGAAGACGCTCCTTGCTGATGTCATGGCTTACATAAGCACGCTCCTTGATTTTAAATAGTCAGCAAATGTTAATAATGAAAAAGATGATAATAATTAGTAAGACTAACTTTTTCTTTTCCTTTTTTGTTTTGTCAAATATGCAGCCACCGCTTTTGTAGAAAATTTTGATACAAAAATCACAACTTTCAACCAAGCAAATAATTTGCTTTATCTTTTTCTTCTTGTTTCATTTTATAATATATGTGTGTGTGTGTGTGTGTGTGTGTGTGAGGTAACTGAAATTCAAATTCTAGGAAGAAAGTTTACCTAGTGTAATGCTCAAGATGGCTCAAAATGGAGTAAGATAGACAGATTTCTTTTATGTCCTGAATGGATAGAGAGGTTTAAGTTTAATTTATGGGGTTTATCAAAGATAATTTCAGACCATTGCCCATTAATTCTAATGGAGGATGTGAGGGATTGGGGCCCCAAACCCTTTAAATTCCTGAATGCTTGGTGTTTACACCCAAAATTCGGACCTTTTGTAGAGAAGGTGTGGAGAGAAACACAATTTCATGAGGCTGCTGGCGCTGTTATGCATAAGAAATTACAGTTTGAAACAATGGAATAGAGTGGCAATTTTGCATAAAAAATAAAGGATGGTAAGGATAAGCTGCATAATCTTGACTTGGAAGCTGAAGATAGGCCATTGGATGAGGCAGAACTAAAACAGAAAAGGGAATTAAGGAGTGAAGTGTGGAAGCTTAGCAGAATGATGGAATGGGAATGGCCTCAAAAATCAAGATTGGATTGGAACTTAAAAGGGGATAGGAACACTCAATTCTTCCATGTTACAACAAGTTGTAGACACAATAGAGATGCTCTGAATAGTATATCAGTTGGAGGGGTTGTGGTTGATGAACCTGATCAAGTAAAGCAAGAGATGTGGGATTATTTTAGGAATCATTTCACGGAAGATTGGGTTAGTAGGCTTGTACTTGTCGGTGATTTCAAGAGTGTTAGTCATAGTCAATGTTTTGACAAATTAGAAGCAGAATTTTCTGAGGAGGAGATTTGGACAACAGTGAAAGGTTGCAATGGGAATAAAGCACCTGGCCCTGATGGGTTTAATTTATTGTTCTGTCAAAAGCATTGGAAGATGTTTAAAGAAGAGGTGATCATGTTTATGAAAGAGTTCCACAGTAAAGGTAGGCTAGTTAATGGTTTGAATTGTTCATTGATTACTCTCATCCCAAAGAAGGAGAATGCAAGTAGCTTAAGTAAGTATAGGCCTATTAGTTTGATTGTATCTATGTACAAGATACTAACAAAGGTACTTGCAAAAAAGATGAAATCAGTTCTAACTGAGGTAATTAGTGATACATAATCTGCATTCCTAGGTGGGATAAACATTTTGGATGGGGAGTTGATAGCAAATGAAATAGTGGATGGGTGGAGAAAATCAAAGAAAAAAGGGCTATTGTTTAAGTTTGATTTTGAGAAGGTGTATGACTCAATTAATTGGGAATTTCTGTTTTCAATGCTCTCAAACTTTGAATTTGGAGCAAAGTAGATCTCTTAGATGAATGAGTGTGTAACAACAGCTAGGGTCTCAGTTGCTATCCCAAGTAGGCAACTCAAGAGGGGGGGTGAATTGGGTTATTAAAATTTTATAATATTAAAATTAACACAATATTCAAAATTTTAACAAATAAAAAAAATAGAATAATAATTATCAATATAAAAGTAAGAGAGATAGGGGGAGAAAATCAAACACTGAGATTTATAGTGGTTCGACACGCCAGGCCTACGTCCACTCCCCAAGGAACCTCCTTGAAAATTTTCTTACTATCAATTGAATAAATACATCAACAAGCTTGTGGATTTGGCACAGGACTTATTCTTATCTATTGAGCCTCACTCAACAACAAATGCCTCACCCTTACAAAATCTCTCACAAAAATAATGAATAAAAATAAGTGGTACTTAAACCCTCTTTTAAAATAATTCTCTCACAAAGAGTAGATATGAAAATGTAAGAACAAAGGCTACACTTAGATCTGAAAGTGAAAGAGCAGAATACAATATAGTTAGAATTTTGGAGCACACATAAATTTTTCTTTTCAAGTTCTTGATTTTTCTCCACACACAACACTTCTATTTATACCAAAAAATATACCCGTTGGAAGAGAAGACGCTCCTTGCTGACGTCATGGCTTATATAAGCACGCTCCTTGATTTTAAATAGTCAGCAAATGTTAATAATGAAAAAGATGATAATAATTAGTAAGACTAACTTTTTCTTTTCCTTTTTTGTTTTGTCAAATATGCAGCCACCGCTTTTGTAGAAAATTTTGATACAAAAATCACAACTTTCAACCAAGCAAATAATTTGCTTTATCTTTTTCTTCTTGTTTCATTTTATAATATATGTGTGTGTGTGTGTGTGTGTGTGACATGATATAAAATTCAACCATGAGCCACCGTTTTGTAGGGAATTTGAATAATAATGTAATTATCACATCTTTGAATTCAATATAAGCAAATAATTTTGCTCCATCATTATGGGTTCCTTGAAGTCAAAAACCACATGAAATTTTGTCTATTTTGTAACTTTTCTTTTTCTTTTTTTGCAAGCAAATTCAAATTAACTTACAATTTTCCTTTTTTCATTCTGCAGGCAAAACATCTTCAAGGATTTGTTTTCAACAAAAAAAAAATTAAATAAGTCTTCTCCTGCAATCATTATAGTATATCAATTTTAAGATTTTGACTATATATATATTTATTACCGATGCACCACACAAGTTCAAACTTGAGGATTTTTTCTTTTTATTATATCAACATATATTTATATATATATGTATGAAAAAAAAAAATGCATCACATGACACCTTCCGCATCCCCAAACTTATAAATAATATATTGTAAACGTAATGTATATATATTTGAATAAAAAGTCTGATTTGCTATCAAACACCGCTTGAGTATGTTACACAAATCAAATATTTTTGTGATTGCTATATAAATATATCAACCATCCCATGTGAGTATATTAAATTTGTTAAACGATGACAACTCACTAAAATCACATTTGTCAAAATGATACAACTAATCAATTTTAAATTTGTCAAAAGATGAATAGTGATCAGCCTAATTTTTCAAAAGGTGAATAGTAAAAAAAATATTTATTTAAATAATATTTAACAAATGTATCATACAATATATATTTTAAACATAAAATATTTTGTGTCAAATAATCTGTATATTAAAAAATCTAAATTTTTGCAAATAATATTTTAGACATCATCAAAATTAAATAATATGATTAACAATCTCCCTCTTTTTGATGATGGCAATATTTGTATGGATATGACACAAAATAAAATTAACAAAATATTTGATGACCCTGCAACATATAATTTTCAAAAGCAGCAAAATCATATTTTTTTCTCCCCATTTGACATCATCAAAATAAAATATGAAGAGATGAAACACATTTGAAAAAATAATCTAAGCGGCCAAAAATAAAATAATGGGCCTTTTGTCTTGTCGGAATCATTGTGGGGATTTTGGAGCGTCTGGAGCGCACAAAATGTTGACAAACAAAAGATTTGAGCAGATATGCATCGAGTATTGGATCGATGGAGTGTATAAAAAGTAACAAGGATGATAGGCAAAGATACGGAATTATCAAGTGTTGGAGAGAAAATTTTGTTTTACCTTCTTGTGTCATCATGTCTTTCCTTACCTTAGCCATCAATGGTTCGGGAATGTATGAGGTGCCTGTAGTGCAAGCAAATGAGAGCTTACCAGTGGTGCAGGCACACCTTATTCCTGTAAATGAGGGTCCTAGTGTTATTGGTAATCAGAATGATATGGACGCTATTAATAACACTATGACTCTTAGTACACATGCAATGATTGCAGTTTCCAATATGGCTCAATGATTACAAGCAAGAATACAAGAAAATTAGCAATGGAGAGATGAGGTGTGCTTGGTAAAACAACTGACTAATATTCGTAAGGAGAAGAGAGAGCTAGAGAGGAAAAATGCGCAGTTGGAGAATGCTGTGCACTATTATGCAATGGTTAGAATGCCAAGACTCACAAAAGTGGAAAATAGAGAAAGACATGTAAAGGAGGCTCATGAAAAGTTGTTGAGAGAAGTGAAACGAAAAAAATATATGAAGCCTTCTGAAAACTTACATATAATCAAGTAATATTTTCTTCTTGTGAAATAAAATTGCAAGCATTTCTCATTTTTTTGTTTTTTATATATATTTAAAAATTTGTCCTAAAAAAAAATGGTTGGTGTAGATAAGGAGTAAAAATTATATATACTCCTCCTAAAATTATGCACAGAATATACAAACGCAGCTTTATTTATTTATTTATTTTTTATTTTTTTAATCTCTAAATATTACATAATATGAGTCTCTCCCTAAATTAATACGCTAAAAATTACATAAATTGGAAGAAACAGATTACCAATCTATAATACCAAGGGCTATTAAGATCCGGCCATAAAGAACTACACCAAGTGCACTAGCATAAAAGGAGAAAATAAAAATAAAAACAATTTCTTCAGACAAGGTAGAAGCAATCATTATTAAATCCAAGAGAATTTGGAGCACATACAACAAGTAAAAAAATAAAACATAGTGCAAAAAGAATTTTAACATGTTGATCGGTGATGACCTTGATGATCGGAGGAAATAGAGAAGATCGTGTAGATCGGTAACGAATTTTTGTAGATCGACAATGGATCTTGATGGATCAGTCACCGATCTTGATAGATCAGTCACGAACCTTGATGGATCGATGATGAAACTTGATGAATTGGAAAAGATGGTGATGCAGATTTTGGGTAAAGAAGTGATGGAGCTCGGTAAATTGGTGGGGGATTTGGGTGGATGATAGATGATGTTGTGGATGATGGGGTTGGTTGTAGACGATGGTGATGATGAAGATGGAGTCGGTTGAGGATGAGAGGAAGAAAGTGAGAGCGGCAGAGCGAGAGAAAGAGAGTGAGGGAGAGAGCGGGTACGAGAGAAACGGAATGGGTGAGAGAAAGAGAGAGAGAATATATATGTATATAATTTATTTTTATTTTTATTATTATTTATAATTATTATTAGAAATATTTTATTTAATTATTTATTTATAAAAAAAATTATTTTTAATATAAACATTATATTGGAGTATTCATCATACCAAGTTCTGTTCTAAAATAACAAAATTGTTCTTCATTTAGAGGCTTGGTAAATATGTCAGCTAATTGACGATTTATAGGCACAAATTCTAGTTCAATGTCACCTTTGAGTACATGATCTCTTAGAAAATGATGCCTTATTTCAATATGTTTAGTGCGTGAGTGCTGAATAGGATTTTTTGAAATGTTAATGGCACTTGTGTTATCACATTTTATAGAAATATGATCATAGTGAAGTCCAAAATCTTGAAGTTGTTGTTTCATCCAAAGCAATTCTGCACAACACCCAGCGGCTGCAATGTATTCTGCTTCAGCAGTTGACAAAGCCACTGAGTTTTGTTTTTTGCAAAACCAAGAAGTGAGAGAGTGTCCAAGAAGATGACAAGTGACATTAGTACTTTTTCGGTCAAGTCTACATCCCGAAAAGTTGGCATCTGAGTAACCAAAAAGTTCAAAGGTGGCTCCCTTACGATACCATAATCCCAAATTTGGAGTGCCGACAAGATATCTGAAAATACGTTTGACTGCGGTGATGTGTGACTCTCTCGGTGTGGATTGAAAACGTGCACACATACAAACACTAAACATTATGTCGGGCCTACTTGCAGTAAGATAGAGTAAAGAACCAATCATACCTCGATATTTCTTTTCATCTACAGGTTTACCTTGCTCATCTTTGTCGATTTTTATTGATGTGCTCATTGGAGTTGCTGCAGGCTTTGATAATTCCATTTCAAACCTTTTGAGTAGATCTTTGATATATTTCGTTTGATTTAAATGGATTCCATCATTAGTTTGTTTAATTTGTAGACCAAGAAAGTAATTTAATTCCCCCATCATACTCATTTCAAATTCACTCTGCATATCTTTAGCAAACTCTTTGCACAAATTTTCATTAGTAGCACAAAAAATGATATGATCAACATAAATTTGAACAATTAGCATATCTTCATTTTTTATTTTTATAAAAAGTGTTGTATCAATTTTTCCTCTACAAAAACCTTTGTCAAGTAGAAAATGACTCAATCTTTCATACCAAGCTTTAGGAGCTTGTTTTAAGCCATGTAAGGCTTTTGAAAGTTTGAAAACATAATCCGGGTATTTACGTTTTTCAAAACCGGAAGGTTGTTCAACATAAAATTCCTCCGAAATGTACCCATTTAAAAAAGCACTTTTAACATCCATTTGATATAATTTAAAATCTTTAAAACATGCAAAAGCAAGTAACATTCTAATAGCTTCAAGTCTAGCAACTGATGCAAAAGTTTCATCAAAATCAATACCCTCTTCTTGATTATAACCTTGGGCTACTAATCTAGCTTTATTTCTAGTAACAACTCCGGATTCATCCAATTTAT